TCCTCCTCCTCCTCCTGCCCTTCCTCCTCCTCCTGCCCCCTACTTCTCCTCGATGACCGTCTTCATTCGATCTCCATCACCTTCTTCGCTCTTCATCCTCCTCCTGCCCCCTACTCCTCCTCCGTGACCGTCTTCATTCGGTCCCCATCACCTTCGCCCGAGGCGGCCATTTCGCGAGAACAAATAGTGTGCATTGATTTGCCGGATCAGTGATTGACCTGGATTTGGTGCTTTCCATACTAGCTAACGGAGGTTGAGTTTTGAGTTTCATTGAGTTAGGGAGGCATCTAACTATAACACTGATACCTCTTTTATACTGCGCACGACTTTAGCCCGCTTCTAAAGCGGGATAACTTTAGCTCGGGATAAGTCGTTTTATACTGCCGTTCTCGACCACCCGAGTTGCGTGCGATGCGTGCGAGACCGGCGTAATTGTCATGGTAACCTCACGTCCCCCTCAGCTATGCTTGCCGCGAGCGCTAAAATTGTTTATCAATACGCTTTTACCGTACCTACGAGTTCAAATTCAGTTTCGCGCGAAATTCAACTATTCTGATACCGGTAGCTAAAATGCTAGATGCTTCTCGTAATATTATCTCGATCTGCGTTTAATTGGATATCGTTTGACAATAGAGTCTATAGAAAAATTTGTTGATCTTTGCGGTGCTAACAGCTAACATTGTAAATTGTCTGCAATTGCTGCTAGCTAGGGACGACTCTCACCGAAGGGATTTGCCGAGAAGAAGAGCCCGTTTTCTACTCGCTGACTTCGGGGACGCCGCCGGTTTAGCGTTAGACAGAGAGCGATGATCGTCGCACATCTTTCTGCGGCATTGACTATGGGCAGTCTGCGGGATAGGCGGATAGGCAGGCTTGATAGACGGCATAGACAATTGTTTTGAGAGCAAATTGTACTGAATTTCAGTAAAGAAGAATGGAGGCGACATTTCAGAATGGGAAGGGCGACGTTTGAATATATCGCAGATTATTTACGGCCAGCTATCGAAAAACAGACGACAAATTTTAGAAGACCGATTGACTACAGGAGAAGGCTGGGCGTTGTTATTTGGTGGCTGGCAACTCCGTCACAGTATCGCACCGTCGCAACTTTATTTGGAGTTGCGATATCGACATTGTGTGTTCTTGCAAAAGAAGTGTGTTTTGCAATTAGAGATATGATGTTGCCACGTTTCGTTTCACTTCCATCTGGTCATCGTCTAGAGGAAACGATCGCTGGATTCAAGCGAAGAGGATTCCCCCAATGTGCAGGTGCCATCGATGGCACTCACCTTCCCATAATTGCCCCCAGTTTACACCCCAGAAGACTACCATAACCGAAAGGGAGGGCACAGTATTATTTTACAAGCAGTTGTTGATCATAACTACTGCTAAATATCGCCCGCTAATCACTATTATCGCTCTAATCGCTCATCACTAATCACTAATCGCTGATCGCTAATCACTATAATCGCTCGCTAATCCAGATTATCATGGAGATCGCTTGGAAATGTGTACTGACTTTAATCTAGATAATTTCAATCTTGATTAAAAAATAAATAGATCTACAACTACATCATACATGTATATCTAGACTAAATCAATAAAATAATGATTTAGGCAGTTGAATAAGTCTCTACATCTAAAATTTGTTAATGTTAAAGGATTTGATTGATTGATACAATTAATAGTGATATTAATATTAGTAGGCCAATTCAATTATTTATTATTCATATTAATAAAGCAAAACGTACTTGATAACATGTAAATAAGGTTTCTTCATATCCTACTAGGTCTAGGACGGTCTAGGCAATAAAATCAGAAAGTTTGCACCTCAGGTATTGCATGTTAAGATCTACAACCTACATGCAATATGCTACTGCTAGTATAGTCAATGTAAATGCCATGATGGTGAAATAAGTCGATGGATAACTATTTAATTTCCGGTTCACGGGTTACTGAATTTAGAGCGAGCTAAAGTCGAGATACCTTTTATACTAACGTTAGCTCGGGTCTGAAGCAGACCTGAACCACCTCCTAGAGCGGGATAACTTTAGCTCGGGCTAAGTATTTTTTTACCCTTTATACTAGGAGTTATCCCGCTTCCGGTCTGGACCTGAAGCGGGATAACTCCCAGTATAAAAGGGGTATAAATCTTCGGCATAGTTGGGGTACGTCAGTACAGGTGCCTCGATCAATAACGACCCTCGCGCTCCCGAAAGGCGTTCCCTTGCTCTCTACCCCAGTGAAACGCGGGAACAGTTTTTTCTCCTTTCACCTTCATAGCAACTTGATGCAAAGGACCGGTTATGTGTGGGAACTGACAAATAAACCAACGATAGTAAGACACTAATCCTATGAACAGGTTGACCTTGCGTTCATTCTGTGGTCTATGCCAAGTCCTAACCTTCTTTACCTTTTCAGGATCAACACTCCATCCATTGCTGGACACTATATGACCCAGGTACTCAACTTGCTGACGGAAGGACTGGAATTCTTTTCCTTTCACTTTTAGTCTATTTCAAGCTAGCCTGGATAGGCCCACATTTAATCTCTCCAGATGTTCTTCGATCTTGGAGGAGAACATGAGGATCTCGTTCAAACACAAGATAAGCTGGTTCGAATTCAGATCGCCAATAATATATTCCATTGTCGTCCGCTAAAATGTACTCATATGTTTTATGTACTTTCACTTTTATGTTTGTCAATCCTTGTGGCATTCTCGTGATGTCATATAGAGCCCCGTGGAACTCTAAAAGCCGTCTTCTCCAGCGACGCTGGATCCATAACTTCCTGAAAATATCCATGAGCTAGATCCATTTTAGAAAAGTACCTCTCAGTGCTTCTAAGGTCTCTTCAATCCTAGGCAGCGAGAAAGAACGCTTTATCGTTCATTCATTGACCTTTCTGTAATTCACACAATCTGAATGACCCGTCCTTCTTCTTAAATACTATACTTAGCAAATACTATTGGACTCGCATATGGACTCTTTCATAGACAGATTATTCCCTGGCCTGACATCTCCTGAAACATCTTCTTTACGTCCAAAACCAAACCTGGAGGTATGCGTCTATAAGGAAGACGGACGGCAGACCCATCATTTATGCAAATCTCGCGAGGGACCACGTTGCACTCCCCCAAGTCAAAGTGTAGCGGTCAAAAATCAGTAAATATGTAAGTCTGTAATAATAGCTTATATCTGTATCTATAACAGAGTCGAAGCTACGCCGGCGTACTGACAGGAATTGGATTGCGACGATGAGTGTCGATGATATGCCGACGATACTATGCCGACTTAGCGTCGACGCTATGACAGTAATTGAATTACGACAAATGTCGATGCTATGACAGTGATTGAATTACAAATGGCACTATGTCGATGATATGCCGGCGTTAATATGCCGAAATACAAAGGGCACTGTGTCGATGATATGACGACGTTAATATGCCGACGTTATAACGGTAATTGAATTACAAAGAGCGCTGTGTCGAGGTGCTATGCCAGTAATTGAATTCGAATTCATACTACCGTTTTCTGCTTCCAGAATGCTACCGTGGTGTTCAATCGGACGCTCCCAGTTTCTATGTACGCTTTCCTGGCTTTTTTACTCCAGCGTGGGGTAGGGGTGTGTGGTCTCTCTGTCTTCTTTCCTGTTCATATTCTTCCCCGCTTTCCTGTAATCCTTTTCCTGATCCTGTTATCTTTTCCCTATAATCCTTGGCGGCCTCCTGAGATCTCTTCCTATCCCTAGAAGACTCATCCGGTGCGGATACGTCATCGTGACTGGTCGTCGGTACCTGTCCCCTTCCGAAAATAATGAACTCACCCATACTTCCCCGTCCACGCAGCTGTGTCGATGACTCATTCGCATCCTTGCCTTGCACATTGCTTCATCGGCTCTCCTGGGGCGTCAGAAATTCTCGTATCCTTTTTAACGACTTTATAAACCTCGACATGTTTTTATCCTTGCTCACAATCCGTCTATAGCACTGGTACGCTTGCTGTCGCTACTCCTTCATGCGAACGATCCCGGACGAGCCCCCATTTAACATGTAGTGGCCCTAGGGGTGGCCGACTACGATTCGACAGACGTTGTTTCGTAATGCGTGTCCCAGTAGTGTGGGATTCAGTGCTCGCTCCTGCCGGTGTATTAGGCAGGACGGTGATGTCACGTAGCAGATAGCACCAGTTAAACAGAACACCGTGAGATTCGGTTTACGGTACGGTTATAGTTTTTATTGCGTGTTACTAGTGTACAAATGATTCCCCTGCATTCGTATATGCAGCGGACCTTCTATCGATCTCGTCTAATATTTACGCGTCGCCGGTTTCGTCTTCTTCCCTCACGTTCGTCCTCGCTTCGCGTGGACCTAAGCAGTCTCCCAGGTATCTCCCTCGCAGTCGCTCCTAGCTCTACCTAACCAGAATGCCGTTCTTCGCTGCTCTCGTTTTATTCCCCCTCTCCCGTTCGGCTCCGGTTTACACCTACCTGAAAAATCTGTGCTTCATCTCTCTGACGCTTTCTCGCTCCCTCTCTTCTTCTTCTTCCTCTCCTTCGTCTTCTTCTTATCCTCCTTCTTCTTCTTCTTCTTTTTCCTAGACCTGAAAATAATGCTCTCCTCCTCTTTCTCTTCGTCCTCTTCTTCTTCTTCTTCTTCTTCTTCCTACCTAGACTTGATACGATTATTACATTATTTTAGGCAGCCCGTGCCGGGCACGGCGATTGCATCATCCCAAGCAACTCGTGCCTAAGTAACTATTCCTTGTTTTCCCCCGACAGGCAGCAGCACCGGCAGTGATAGCATGATCCAAGATGGCTGCGCCCATGGATCGATCGACGTGTGTGTTGACATATATTTATGTGCGGTCTATAACTTATCCTTTCTTTAGTCAATATATATGGTTATTATATCTATACCGTGAGTTCAATCTATTTATCCTGATCTAGTCTACTGCTCCTGTAAGTTACACACCCCCGAAATCTCCACAGTACGTTTGCAGATACTTTTGGCGTTGTCCGCCATTTTGAATACATTGTAATTCATGTTTAAGTCGGTTAATTATGTGATTAGTTAAATATCGTCGGTCGGTAATAGCCGTCTCTATATCTGGTGTTGGCTGACCGGCACGCAGCTTTAAATAACATCCTTACGACCGGCACAAAAATGGTTGAGTTTGTGTAAAATTACCCTTAAAATATAGTGAGCAATCTACAAATAATTACAACTGATACACTTAGAATTAATTTAAACAACAACTCTGAGTTTCATCCCATCAATAATTATAAGTAAAATGCGTAAATGCGGGCCCCCGTATAAGTAAAATGCGTAAATGCGTAAATGCGGACCCCCGTCCGTGAACCGCTGCGCTCCGTTCCCTCCGCTCACTATACGCTCGCAAAATCACTAATATTAGCCGGCACTAAAATTGTCCTGGCTACAACCCTCATGTGTGTATACATATATAGATATATAGATATATATATATATATATATATATAAGTAAAATCACACACGAACACCAATGTAGAGTTGTTTAAGTTTTAATACGCAAGCTTTCGAGTTGTACATTTCTTCATCAGGCAATTCAGCAGACATACAATATATATATTCCCGTTATCTGCCTCTTTCTCTTCCTCTCGCTCTATCGTTCAATCTCTCTCGTTCTGTATATATTTATCTATATGGGTGTATGTGTGCGCGCGTGTGTGTATGTGGGTGAGTACGTGTCTATTGATCTCGTTTATTGTCTTCTCAATATCGGGGATAATTGACTATGATTATCTGCACCCGCGGTTAATTCCTTTTGCTGAAAGGTAATACGGCTTAAGCCCGCCGCACACGTAAAATCACGCATGAGTCAAATTACTTAACGAAAATTCGCCGCACACGTGAGTAAAATAACTCACGTGTTCATATGTGTGCGTGCGTGCGTGCGTGCCCGCCTTCTATCGTTCGTATGTGTGCGTGCGTGCGTGCGTGCGTGCGTGCGTGCGTGCGTGCCCGCCTTCTATCGTTCGTATGTGTGCGTGCGTGCGTGCGTGCGTGCGTGCGTGCGTGCCCGCCTTCTATCGTTTGTATGTTTGCGTGCGTGCCCGCCTTCTATCGTTTGTATGCTTGCGTGCGTGCGTGCGTGTCCATCTTCTTACGTTCGTATGTGTGCGTGCGTGCGTGCCCGCCTTCTATCGTTCGTATGTGTGCGTGCCTGCGTGTTCGTCTTCTTACGTGCGTGCATGCGTACGCATATACGGACGTGCGTGTGCGTGCGTGCGAGCGTGCCCGCTTTCTTACGAGCGTGCAT